ATCACAAAGTCGAAGATATGCACATTATTACGTAATCGCATATTGCCGAAATCATAAACTTATTAAACTTATCGAATTGGTCTAAAATCATTCGGTCAATTTTTTACCAGATGTCCCAAAATTTATGAGAACAGCTGTAAAAAAAAATCAGATTTACATAACTCGGGCTAGCTTGAGCCGGCTCTACTTGGTTTTGAGCCAAGCCAAATTGAGCTGTTCGCATTCCCATTAATAAAACTTCAAGGAGCTGATTACCAACTTACGACTCAATCAACTCGCCTAAGACTAAACCATCTTTATTTGGCTAAGCCCTTCATTAGGTTATACGAAGTTCTGAATTGTGGAGCAACTGACTCTCCAATTTCTCGTTACTTTTCATTTTAATATTGCGTAATTCAAGTTTGTTTAATAATCAATTAAAATTTAGTACGAAATAGTATGAAATATAAATGGGATACGATAAGGTCGATCTTAATGTTGTACGTGTGAATATTTAGGTGTTCATAACGTGAATGAGAATTTAAGTGCACATCGATACTTTGCAATAAAGTGGTCATACGATAAACTATGAAAAAAGATGAAGAAGAAAATAATAATAATAATTAAGAAAATATATAAGAAAATTTTAATCACACGCATAAATATAATTACATGATAGAATCAAATACAATGAAATATAACGGTGTGTAAAATCCGATCTGGTTCGACTTGCCATTAAAAGTCGAATTCTATTAAAGTTTGATCCCAAGAAGGGCTTACTCGTATCTGCACATGCATTTAGTATATTTAAGTATAGCATTAAGCGAATATGAACGCATGAAAGTACACATTTTTTATGAAAATACTAGGCACAATCGAATTTACCTCGGAAGTACTACTGTTCCGGCGTAGTACAGCCTTCAATTCATTTGATTTTTATCGATAAAATAGTATAGATCGACGATAACGATATTAAAGAAAAATATAAATAGAATCTATTTTGTATAAATTTGTTTCACATGTATTAAAAGTATATAAGTAGCTTAAGCTTACCATCAATGAAGGTGAGCTCGATAAGAGTTCAATAGCTCTTCGCTTCACTAATTCCTCTTGATAAGTGAAATTTGTGGTCCAGTCCCGTGACCCAAAGTAACGTAGTCCAGAACTCCACTTTCGACATCTGCCACTATTAGTTGTTATTCTGATAACAACCGGCCTGGCACCAGTTCTACCTGTTATAACGTGCAGATACGACTTAAGTTTGACTTGGGACCGAATTTTAATTAAAGGTTCGACTTTCGAAGTCGAATCGGACTAAACTGGGCTTTTCATATCCCTAACGCTAAACAATAAATTAATTTTCGACTAATAAGGATATGCGGATTATTAGATCTGCTGATTAATAACGATTATATCAGAAACGCATAACCAATTAAATAACCTAACCAAAAATTACCCAAATTCTTACGCTTTCTTAGACAGTTCATTTTTTTTTTATTTTTTTTTACAATTAAAGTACACTTCCTTTGAATGAAAAAACCCACAGATTAAATCCGAATTTTGACGCAATAGTTTGAAATTTTCTATTCGGGCTATATTACAAGACCGAGTTTAAACTTAAAAAAAATTTTTTTACTATAAAATATTACGAAAAAGCAGCATCAAGGGACAAATTAAAATAAAAGCAACAATATAAGAGGATTAATTTAAAATGGTAAACGCACAACCAAGAGTTGATCTAACTAAGATAGTAAACGCACAAGCAAGTGTTGATCAAGAGTATCCTCAAGAAACACGAAAAAGAATAATATGCTTAGATATTAGTAATAAAAACTTAGAGGGCTCCCTAAAATTAGAAGGATTTAGTAACCTAGAAGTTCTCAACTGTTCAAATAATCTATTAACTGATGTTGATTTTTCGGATTTAGATCCAGAAAAAATAAAAGAAATTAATCTAAAAAATAATCAGCTTTCAATCAGGGATCTAACTTGCTTTAGCAAATTTGTTAATATACAAAGAATATCAGTAGATAGCAGTTTTCATGGAAGTCTAGAGCCTTTGAAAAGCTTAACCAAATTACGAAGTATAACTATTGCTGGCACTCACATTAACAGTGGCTTAAAATACTTACCAATTAGCGTAAATAGTACTGGCTTTTTTGATAGAGAATGGAATTCTTTTACATCATTGATTACTTCTTGCGAAAATTTTGGCTGCCATAAAGTTCTTAAGCGACTAGAACAGTATATTTTATTAACTACTGTTTATGATCCTATTTATCACGATCCAAAATATTGTGAAAAGGATGTTCTAGAGGCGTGGAGAATAGAAAATATTCTTGAATATAGGCAAAAAAAGAAAGAAAAATTAGTAAAAAACAAGTTTCTTTCTTTAAAATCTCAATTGTTTAAATTAGAAATTATATTTGAACAACAAATAAAACCTTTAGAATTCAAGAATCTAATTCCACAAATAAAAAAGAAAAAAGCAGAGATAATTAATATTCTTCATAGTGGAAGAGGCACTAGTGCTTACCTTCATAATGAAATTAAAAAAATGCGAAAAAAATTATCTGATAATAAAAAATTAGAACAACATTTACAGGAAGCAAAAAAAATAACCATTGATTTGGAAAAAGCCAGGTTCTTTCACAGAGAAGACAAAAAGGAAGTTTATAAAGGTGCTTATAGAGATTTAAAAAGATTGGAAAAAAATTTAAGCTATCATAAAAAATTGGAGCATAATATGAATTATTATGAAATCGCTCTTAGGGGGTTTGTTCACGGAACAATACTTGTTGAATTGATTAAGCATATTGTTGAAATTCAAAAGTTAACTCAAAAATTATTAGGTCGTCGATACCAATTCCAAATTCTCTAATCTTTTATAGCATTCTTGAGTTTGAGTAAAAATAAATAGTATTTTTTTCTTTAATTTGTTGTAATTATTATCTATTATTGTTGGCAAAAAAACCTCTGTATTTCAAAATACACGCGATATCCACTATAAAATTTATTTTATAATAAATTCCTTCAAATAGCTTGATAATTACAAGTTTGCAACATACGAAAAATATCTTTTATTTCCACAATTCTATCCAGATTAATTGGACAATTGATGAAATTAATCTATACATACCGGAATTTCAAAGTGGAAATATCCATTCCCTAATGTGACGCCGTAACAAAATTGGACCGACAGATTCTCGATTTTGATTGGCTTAAAGTGACGATCAAAAATTAGGCCAGAATTACTCCTAATTTTACTAATGTAATCATAGCCGCCCATTAAGTGAAAATTGTTCCTGGGTCAATTTACCATAATGCAGGTTTATTTTTTAAGAATTTCTATTTTTGTAATGAAAAAATTAAAAACTTAATTCCGGCCGGAAATTAGTAACCAATTTTGTAATGTGGGCCAAAATTTTGATCCTCGGCCGTTAGCCAATCAAAATCGAGGATCTGCCGGTCCAATTTTGTTGCGGCACTATTACTATGGTTAATGCTTAAGTATGTAGCCAATCACTTATAACACTAGAAGAACCCAGTGTATAGCCGATTTTTATACTGTTGAGTTTGAAAACGGCGAGTCTGTCGCTAGAAGACCAGAATTCTCGCGCTACGTCAATTTCAAGGCTTGA